CTGTAGATTCCGTAAAAACAACTGCAATAATCACACAAGAGTCCAAACCCCATAATTTCTGCTCAGAATTTGCTTTCGGATAAGGAAAAAAATAAAATTTTCATTGAGCAAGGAGACTTGCAACAATGGGAACAAACTTGGAGTAGCACTTTAAAGAGCACAATAATAACTAGCCTTATAATAGTATCAACAGACACAGGTCGAATAAGATGATTCTTAAAATCAAGGTTGACTGCTTTCTAAGCATTTTCATCCCCTATTCACATTTAAATACTTACATGCAGCTGGAAATATAGGTTCAAGCTAACAAACTAAAATTTAAAAGAAAAAAATTAAAGCAAAATCAACTGACCGAAGAACTTCTAAGACTTTTGAGATTGATCAATTCTATATTCTAACAATTGAAGATTCTATATGTTGATTAACAGTTGTGGCAAAAGGAGAATCAAATCGCATAAAAAGACAAATTGCATGATCTCACCCATTCCAATAGAAGCCACTTTCTCACAAAAGAGAGAAGCAAATTGCATGGGCTAGTAGAAGTCGAAACAGAGAACCCTTGCTCCCTCTCCAAGTCCATCGAAGAAAATCGCATAGTCCATCGAAGAAAATATCTTTGCGTAAGGTTTTGATTCCTCTCCAAGTCGTGTTGCGGATTGGACCCCTACATCTGTCGAAAACCCCCTCTGCGTTGAAGTTCAGTTTTGAACAAGAAATCCCATTTTAACAGTGTTAGTTCCTCCGTTGGCCCTTGATTGTGTTTTCTGAAGTATGAGGGCTAACGGCATAAACAGAGGAAAGTTAAAGGATTTTTAAAAAAGCAAAAAAAGTATAGGTACCAAATTAAAAATTGAAGAAAAGTTTAGGTACCTTCAAAATAGTTTTTCCTTTCTAAAATACCCTTGCTAATCAAATATATTAGCTAGAACTACCATTACTATAAGAACTATCTTCAGAAAAAATGAATAAATATGATAAATAAAGTGGATTGGTGTCTTATATTTAGGACCAAATTGAAAGTCAAATTAGCTCTTATATTAAGGACCATAGATACTACTGTGACATCCCAAATTTTAGGTCTAAAAATACTAGAATTAGGCTAAAATGAGAAGACTACCAAACCCCTTTTGGCAAAGGTCTCAAAGATTTCCTGGAGGGATAGAGGGATTCCCAAGGACTAAATCGCAAAATAAAAGTTTTCTGGGACTGAGAAAAGAGGAAGATGGAGACTCCAGTGAAGTCTCGAGACCTAGAAAAGAGAAGTGGAGATAAATGTAGGCCAAAGATTACATTAGAGACCTCAATGAGGTGAATTATGAGGTTAAGTCGAATTATGGGCAAAATCGTAATTTTATAAAGTTTCGGGTCAGTAAGGGCAAAAACAGAAATCATGTCCAAAAATTCCAGAAAAAATCTAGAAAATGGGAAATGGCATCTCAAGGCCTATATATAAAGAAAAATAACAAAAATGCCCTTGCATTGACTTTAAATAAATTTTAAAGATTATGGCTTGTTTTTAGGTATAAAACTAGATTTAATTATTTGAGCCATGAAGAGACTCAGAAATGTAAGTAAAAATGAGGATTTATGAGTTAAGAGGCTACAAAAAATTATAAAATTAGTCTCATCCCCAGAAGGCCAGCGGACCAGTTATGCCGAAAAAGAGCAATTTACGGGAAATTTAAAAAGAAATGCCTATGGATTGAGTTATAGCTCGAGAAAATTCACAGATTTTTTTTCATAATTTAAGAAATTTTATGATATTTTTGGATGAATTTTTGGAGCTCTGGATTGAATAAAATAATCTAATCAAATATTAAATAATTTTTGTCCCTTAAAAGGAGACAAAACCAAAGAAAATATCTAAAGGCGATCATGACAGTGATGAGTCGTCAAATGCAATCATAACACCTTTGAGTCAGCGTGTTGGATCAATAGGAGATATTTATGGACAACATAAAAATCAGAACGCAGTACGGGTACATTTTAGACAATAATGTCTACCCATTATAGTAAAATCTCTACTGTGTGACTCAATAAGGCTACTAGCCTGTCAGTAGAGCTAATTATTTTCTTCTATGCTCCTCTAAGATAACGCCATATGTGTACTTAATTAAGATGAGAAAATGGTGCCAGAACATGTCCCAGTAGTACAAGGTAAGTCAAGATCCCAAAAAGTACCTGATACGGTGCAGAATGGCAAAATAACTGGAGAAATACCAAAGGGCTATAATTTGTACGAATTTTATATTAATTCTCTCCCTATTTTAATGCTATAATGATGAAGGGACATGGATGAAACAAGTGTATGGTTGGATGAATAACACGTGTATGGTTGGATATAAAACACGTGTACTGTCGGATTAATGACATGTGGCTTGATGATGTAAGCATGATGTCATAGGACACATGTCATCACAAGATAAAAAGAGAAAATGGACGGTCAAGTTTAAGCCACGTATTTTTAAGATCAACGGCCAAGATTCAATCTTGTTTTCTATAAATATCCCTCCCCTCCCCTTATTTCGTCCATAGCTCTTGAAACCTTGGAAAACTCTTGCAAAATGAATTCTAGAGAGAGAAAGAAGAAGGAGAGAGAAAGCCAAGTGATCCCATGTAAAATCAAGCTCCAAAACAAGATATGTTCATGGTTTTTGATGTAGTTTTCACTATCCTTGTTGTTATTGAGCTTAGCTACAGATTTTCATAGTTTTTGGGAGCTTGAAACCCTAAGAGAACATGCTGCACGAAATTGTTAAGTGTGGGAGAAGATGAAATTGATGTTAGAATAATGTTTAAAGGCTTAAAAAGAATAAGAATTAAGTGGTTCTAGCTTTGTATTAATTGAATTCCATGAGTTTGGAACCAAAGAGGATGCCACGGTCTGATAGGTTCTTGTACCTAGGATATGATTTTGATGATTTTGATACTTCTAATGTGTTTAAATGAAAAATTGTGCGGGGATAAGATGAAATAATGAAGTTGAAAGCATTGAAATCAAAACTGAAATTTAAGTGGCAGACTTTGGTTTTGGCCTAGAACCAAGAGAAGGAGTCGAATTTTCATGAATCTAAACTCATATGTGGATTTCTTGGATAAAATTGTGTAGAATTGGCCTAAAGGAAAAATTGTTACAAAACTAGAACACTACGTTATAAATTAAAGAAAAGAGATTAAGTTTAAGGACACAAGTCTTCCACATTGTGTAGTTCTTGATCCTAGTGAGTAATATGACCCTTATAGCTATGATTAGGACCTCGAGACATTCAAGATAAGGTTTGGATGTGGTTGACCAAAAGCTACATGGTTGGTAAGCTTAGGGATCAAGTGAAAGAGCAAGAGAAAACTTATGATGCAAGGTAGTGAACTTACCTTTCTTGTGTACTTGATGTGATGCTTGTGTGTTAATGTGCATTATGTTGTTTGATGATGATATGAGATGCTAATGCTAGTATGATGCTCTGTTTCATTAATGTTTTCCATGGCCATGCATGTTTATGTGAAACATTGAACATGAGAAAATGTTATGAGCAAGCATGAACTAGATTAATTAAGCATATTATACACTTACATACATCTTGCATTCATAAATGGCAATGTTTGCTACTGAAATTCTCTCGAATCTCATTCTCCCTTGACCAATTATAATAGTTGATAATGATCAAGCAAATGATGCATGAAGGGAAAGTAAGGAAAGAGGAAAACAACTGAAGAAAGTTATCATATTACATTGCATAGATTGTATACTAATGCATGTGACATTGATGGTATGTGATGATAAGTGCTGAGGATGGCTTGTATAATTGGCTATGATGCTATATAGGAATAGTTTATGGATTGATGGAATGGTATTATGCAAGAAAAAAATTAATTATGAATTATTAATGAAGGTTAGGGAGATAAAGCATTTTTAAAGGAGCCACAAATTAATAACAGAGTGGACGTGACGCAAACAATTGATTCTGCCCATGAAATTTGGTATGATTAAAGTACACATTCTGAACTTTAAAACAAGTGGCATATCACTTAAAAATGGATGTGTGTGCTAAGAGTTATGCTTGATCAAAGTTAGGGCAGAGAAACTAGATTATACAGTTTTGACCAAATGAACAATAAACTGTACAAATTGACAAGGGTTAAGTCCAGTTTTATATTTTTTCCCTATAGAGAACTGGAAGAACTTCAAATAATATTTGAAGCACCTTAATATAATTTTTCTATAATTAGTTATGCATTTTTAAAGTTGGATCAAAAACTTAAAATTTTACCAGTGAACAGTAACCCAGGAACCAATTGCAAATTTTCAATCTACGGACTTGTTTCGTGAATCGCTTGAATCGTAACGCTTTTAAAAGTGTACTTTGAGGGGTTAAAGAAATGATGTTTCAACTATCTCGGATCATAATTATAAGAGCTAGTTAACTAATTTGAAGAGATTAAGAAAATAAATTAAATTAGTTATTTGTAATAAATAGGTGCCGTCTTTCTAAAATATCCTTACTAATCAAGTGTATTGGCTAGAGCTATTCTACTAACTTGGAAAAAAAATACATAAATACGACATACAAAATGGATTGAAAATCTTATATTTAGAACTAAAATAAAAGTCAATCAACGTCTTATATTAAGAACTGAAGGTAGTATTATTTAATTATTTATTACTACCTTCATTTCTTAATATAAGAACTCGTTTGAATTTTATTTTAGTTCTAAATATAAAACATCAATTTACTTTATCTTTTATATTTATTCTTTTTTTTTTCAAAGTAGTCCTTATAATAATAATTGTAACCAATATACTTGATTAAAAATTATATTTTTAAAAAAATAACATCAGTTTATTATAAATAACTAATATAATTATTTTTTAATTTATTTAAATTAATAAATTAGTTTTTATATTAAGGACAAAAAATATATGGATAAATTTGCACCCTCCATTTACGCGTGTCAGCGGCCGCTTCCGTCATCCCTCCATTGCCCAGCAAAACGGCGCGGACAGGCAGCAGACGGGGAGCGAGGGGAGACACTTTCTCCCTTTTCTTCCGAGACTCAAATCCGGACTAATCCTTCCCGACCTCGACCTCGACCTCGTATAGTCCTGGTTCCCTTCCTTCATTGACCTCGGTCTTGGCTTTTCAGGTGCTTCACTTGCTACGCTGTCACTTCTCAGCTTTGAAATCTAAATTGTTAAATTTGATTTGTTAATTTGCGTTGGTTGATACTTGCATTGATAGATAACTGTGAAATATGATTCTGGATTTCATTGTGAAGCTTGTTTATTAAAATTACAGTGAACTGAAGATTGAGCCAAACCAATCAGTTATATATGTTTCGTTCGATTAAAATTAGAGCAAGTTAAAAATTGAGTGAATTACGATGTATGATATATCAAATAAAGTTTATATTTCAGTTGGCGTGTTTCTTCCTATGTGTTGTGTCGGGGTTATTGCTGATGAACATCTGGAGATTATTTGAGAAGTTTTTGCTGATGATTATTTGAGAATTAGATTGCTGGCTTGAGAATCATAATTAAAAAAACGGAAAAAAAATTAGAAGGGGCCAATTTTGCTGGCTAGCTAACCAGCCCATATTTATAGCGTGCTAGCTTTCCTTCTTATGCTTAAAGCTTACATATAAACAAACGTTGTTTTCTGAAAAATAAAATAGAAACTTTCATTTAACATGAGTTACTGTTGCTAGGTATTCATTAACTTTTTGATTTGCCAAAGAACAAAGGTCTGAATATTTGTGGGAGAAAGTGGATGTATTTATTATGCTTTTTTCCTAATTTCATTGTAGCCTAATACTATCCCCATTTTAAGTTTATCCTCAATTTGTGCATGCATCCGGTTTCTGGAGCTTTGTTGATTTACACTGAATTTTGATCTACATTGTAGTTACCCTCCTCTCTTTTTGATTCTTGATTTGTGTTACTATTATCACGTGGATTGAGCAACTGTACAGCAATGAACTCCTGTTTTGCTCAAGAACCTTACTCTGTCACTTTGCAACATTCAGAACTGGAACTAACACCTGCTTTCTTTTTTAACGGTTGACACCACTGCAGATGGAAAATAGATTTGCTGAGGAACTTTACTCGGAAAGTTTGCTACTTTCAAGATCGGAACTAACACCTAGTGCCAGGAATCAACAAAATAATTCAAACGGTAAGAATTTGTCATGTTGAGTATATATGGAGCTTCTGTTACTGTATGCCTTAAATAGATTTGTTTAGTCTACCTGGTAAGTACAATATGATTTAGAAGATATCTGAAATATATTGTCTGTTAATGAAGAAAGCGTTGATGAAACATTGTTGTTCCTTAACATATTTAACAGAGAAAGTATGACCTTATATATGGCCATTCCTCTCTAATTGGACAAACCATAGAGTACCATAAACGGCTCATGGCCACTAAGTTTTGTCATTCTTTTTATTACCTAATCGTATAGAGTGGATTTGTGGACACTGATTCAAAGTACCATAATACACCCAATATCAGCCAAGAATACCAAAGAGCTTATTTCCCAGCTAACACTCTGCTGGATAGTGAAGAAATAAATGGGCGAAGTTTCTGACTCATCCCTACATTCACGCAAGTAGGGGGAAGAGTGCCATATGGGACCTTCAAACCTATAACATGTCATTTTTGTTTATCCCATTGAGTACAAAAATACAACCTCTAATGCCAGTGGCCTCCTTAGAACAATTGACCCCAGAGCTTAGAAGGTTGTTTTCTTGTACTCATTTATGTACTTTTGGGTTTTTTTTTTTTGGGGGGGGGGGGTTTCCCCTGTAGACGAATTTGTATGGAACTGAAAGTAATTGTTAAGAGAAAATGCATCAGAAGGGTCAAGATTCCAAGATCTCGAATCATGAATAAAGAAATAATAGAATCAATTAAAGACATGAGAAATTCCATCAGGAAAGCTACTCTCATTTGACCCCAACAATGTTCAAATTCGGATTAGCGATTCTGGATACCACAGTCATCACCAAAACAGACATGAGTGACTAAAGCTTACTACTCTATCATTCAAATGTATTTAGAAAAAATTGGAAATTCCAAGAAGATTTCGTAATTTCGCTTCATGTTTTTCATATTGTAGTGGACAGCAATTTCTTTCTCTATATATTCGGATGGAGGTCAAACTTCCCAAATATTCTTAACCAATAGTAGAGTTGTCTTGTAACTTTATGGAATGGATGAATGGAGCCACAGAAATCCCTGCTTTGAGTTATGTCTAACATTGAACTAACTGATAATAACGAGTGGCAGCTATCAAATCATCTAAATAAACATATCGGTTCGATGTAAAGATAGCCTCTGTAAGTGCCATTATTTTTTCAACTCTTTAACTATTATCGGAAATTAGAAATGTTTTTGTCTTCTGTGACCATATTTATTTTGTTCTATATGACTATATAGTTGAGCGTTATGATGCATTGACATTTTTCAACCATGCTTATTTTTTGAGATATGTAATTGCATGCTATGCTTTTAGATAGTGATGGCTATGATTTGAGCCATGAAGACGGGTCTCTGTCAGATGGTTTGGTTGAGGAGTTAGATAAATCATCAGAATTGGACAGGGAATGGCAGAGGCGGCATGACCAATTCCATGCTGTGAGTTTAGAGTCCTTTATTTTAGAATGTTTCCCTCTATAAAGTAATTTACTGTTAATTTTTATTATCTGTGATGCAATGTAGTTTGGATATCGTGATGGTATCGCGGCTGGGAAGGAAGCTTCTTCACAGGAGGGATTTAATATCGGTTTTAAACAATCAGTCCTTGCTGGTTACAGATGGGGACTTGTGAGAGGTGTTACCAGGTATTATGAAAGGGAATACTTTAAAGGAGATATGCAGTATCTTTAGATTTGTCTTTGTAATAGGCTTATTTGTTTATACTACTTCCGGTCCTTAATATAAGAGCTAATTTGATTTTCAATTTGGTCCTAAATATAAGACTCCAGTTTATTTTGTCTCTAATATTTATCCATTTTTTTAAAGTAGTTATATATATTAAATGTTCAATCAAATAGTAGTTTTAGCTAATATATGATTAGTAAAGATATTTTAGGAAAGATAATACCTAATTATTACAAATAATTAATTTAACAAACTTTCTTAATCTACTCAAATTAGTCAACTAGCTCTTATATTAAGGACCAGAGGTAGTATTTTTTAATAGTCTGATTTGATCTCTAACATTTCCTCGTTTTTCTTGTCTGCTTGCTATTTGCATCCTGTGAAGCGCGTTTGCTTACCTTCCAGAAGAATTGAAAGAAAAATTAGTGGAGGCACATGATAAGAGAAATGAATTACAAAGGTTTTATGAATCTGTGCATTTGCTGTCAACAAATGATGCTCTTAAATCGTTTCATGAAGATTTCATGGTCAAAGGAACTTCAGAACCAGGGAAGAATGTGGAAATGGTTCAGAACAAAACTGATTTGCAGGAGCAAACATCAGATTGCTCTCAGCTTGGGAGTTACCTTGGACAACTTAGATCTCTTATTCCTGAAAATTCTGCAATTGAGATGCATTTACCTGAACCCAAATAGATGGCTGTCTACCTTCCTAGATGAACAGTCTAGACCAGAATGCATTTGCCTGAAAATGCTTGAATTTAGCCTCCAATAGGATTAGATACCAGATAGTTATATAAGGAAAAAATTGTTTATTCTAGATTTCTACTTCATCTTCTGCTCTTTGGGGAGAGAGATGTATTTTATCGTTTATTGAATATTACATTTGAGCTCAAGAATGGAATCAGCATTTCTATATGCTCTGCCTCTAAATGTATTTGAAATTTTTGTTTTTGGGTCAAACTAAATGTATTTGAAATTAAAGAAACAGAGCAATGAGTGAGTCCTTTTTTTTTTTTTTTGAAAGTCCTCCATTGGCTTATTTATGTTTAGAAGTGTCAAATTAAATTAAAGCAGGTGAGTTGGATTTGATAAATTTATTCAGGCGTGTTCATTTGTGATAAGTGATATGATTTCCCATCTCATGCCTTATCAAATGACACTGAATTTCTAAGTATTGAAATGGAGCATCTCCCTATTCGCTAATTATAATAATAAAGAAAATAAAGTTAGAGTTCTTTATATTCTCAAAGTTTTCCCATCAAAGCATAATAGATGTCATTTTTTATTAAAAATATGATAGGTGTATGTATGCAAATATTATTATGAATAAAATCGAAAAATATGAGACAAACCCATCTATGCTGTCCCTACAAATTATATGTTCTATATAAAAGAAGTTATTTAACTATATTCATTGCTATATTTTGAATAAAATCGCACTCTTAAAGGAAAAAAGGGAATTAAAAATAAAATAATATTCAACTTAATTTACCAAAATAGGGACTGTTACTACTGAGTTCCGCAAAGAAGGATAATTGTAGAAGGTAAAAATTTTGTTTTATTTCGGTGAAGGAAAAGCAATATTCTCTTGATCTTAGCCAAAAGGCCGTGAAAGGTATAGCAATATTCTCCTAACATTGCACACTATTTTCTTCTTCCATTGTTTGTTGAGATCATGATGCAATACTTTTTATTTTGAGATTATATAAGAGTAATTAATGTCATATTTAAAAAAAAGTTAAAACATAAATTTGTTCCGAAAGTTTTCATTCAAAAACACTCGGCACTAATGGTTAACCATCAATATTACTTTTTAAAGGTAGAGAATAATATTACTATAATTTTAAATTTTTAAGACAAATTTGCACTTAAAAAATTTTCAGATGGTCAGCGTTTCTGATGGAAAATTTTTCGGAAAAATTTGTTTATGAAAGAAAAGACTAGGAGCAGAGATAGTTGATTTCAGGCTGACCAAACCAAAGAACAAATTTAATTTCACCAACAAAAAGTAGAATTATAAGCGGTGCAAATAAAACCAATATTATGAGGCATAAAATCTTAACAAGCCATGTAGTTTATTATTATCTTGATATTTAATGATTCATTTTTATAACTTATAATTAAAAGTTTTTACTACTCTTGGTCCTAACTATAAGAGCTAGTTGATTAATTTGAGAAGATTAAAATAAAAAATTAAGTTAGTTATTTGTAATAAATAGATGTTGTATTTCTTAAAATATCCTTACTAATCAAATGTATCGGCTAAAACTACTATTATTACTAGGACCACTTTGAGAAAAAATATATAAATATAAGAGACAAATTATATATAAATATAAGAAACAAATTGGATTAGAGTCTTATATTTAAGACCAAAATAAAAATCAAACAAGATCTTATATTAAAGATCAGAGCTAGTGTTTTGCAATATTTTGTTTCTAAATTCCTTCTAAAAGAAAAAAAAAGTCAGAATTAAAAGGAAAACAATGAAATATAAGCTTAATTAAGTCAGATCTGAATCCAAACATTATTTCAAGGTTTGCCGAAGCGACCATTATTGTTACTATTATTAGAATAATTAGAATGTTTTGTCTATGTAGGTGTACAATGAAAATGATAAAAGTTCAGCATTTAAAATTTATTCCATTCCCAAGCATTAAAAAAATAATCGTAGTTTTCATTATCAATGTCACTCGTCAATATAAATATCGGGGTACCCAGGAATACGAGTTGAAATTAGAAAATGTTTCAACTGATCAATGACAATTTTTTCCTCCTTCATAAAGAATTAAATCTGAGCAAATAATCAAATACATGAATGCATAATTTCTGTACAGAAATTGCTGTGTATGATGCAGCAGGCTATGGTACAAACCACCAAAACAAGAAGACAGCAAAACTCCCTGACAAACCAAAGCTGTTTGCGAGCCATATGCTTAACCTGGAAACATATTAACATAAAGGTGGAGGAGCTCTTAGATTATGATGATGAAAGAATAACAATGCGTGGGTTAAGGGTTTATATATCAGATGGAAGACAATTCTTGAAGTAGCCAGACAACATCTCTTATTCTTTATTTTTCATAACAAAATATTCAGGTGGAGTTGAGTTCCAGAGGCTAGGACACACATCAAAGTACAAAAAGTGCTTATTGAGGTACAACACATCATATTCTTTAGTATAAAAAATTAACTTTTGACCTGGGCCCAATTTCTTTCTTTCTTTTTTTCTTTTTAATTACATTGAATTGGGCTTTGTATTATTCAGACCCTTTCGACCAAGTAATTTCAATGCAATGCAGCCATGAAAATGATCAAATATAATTTGTGAGTTAAGGTGCAAATTTGCTCTGAAAGTTTTCACTAAGGAGCATTGGACACCCAGAATTCTTTTTGGGTGTAAATTTGCCCAAGAAGTTTAAAATCATAATAATGTTACCTCCTATCATTAAAAATGTTAACGGTCAAAGAGGCAATAGTGCAACGATTTTAAACCTTTGAGCCAAATTTGCACTTGAAGCTGCCTAATACTCCTAAGTGAAAACTTTCATAACAAATTTGTACCTTAATCCTAATTTATTCAAAGAGCAACAGAGAGAGAAGAAAAAGATTGGTATAAAGAAAGGAAGTGGGTCTCATACAAAGTTACATGTTTTTTCATCATTGTTTCTGTCCAAATATATGATACTGATTGTCAATCATCCAATATGAGCAGATTTTACAGCTCAATATATTTAGCATAAAATGAATGTTCTAGCAATTATTCATTCTTTGACTTTCTTAACTGCGGAGAAGTCCATAATGATAAACCAGTTTAAAAAAAAAAAAATCTCTTTTACGAAGATTTTTCCAATGATGGATCTATGCAGGCATTTATCATTATGATTCTATCTCTGCATTTATGACAGATTACAAATAATTACATTGGTATCGATTAATAAGAAAACACGACTAACAGACTAAGAGCCTTTCATTTTCAATTGAGCTTCATACGGATATATCCAAGTATTTAATTAATTACCTTCCTCAAAACAAATTTGTATAACTGCAAACTTACCTCATGATAATATGACAAGTCCAAGGTACAAAGATGCACATAGGAATGCAAAAGATATCATCCCCCTGTAAACGGAATGCATAAAATAAACTTACAATAACGAAAGGGCAAAATGATATAAAGGCTAATCAGTTTATTCACAGTGATAAGCCTCTTGTTTTATTAACGCACTTCCGCCCAGCTTTTGCAAACAATGAAAGTGGAATTTAACAAGACGTGGGTGTTTATATCAGCTTATTTTAAGTGATTCTGTGTTGTATTAGTTATGTGCAAGGAGTTTTGTTTCATATAGTGCAACAGAGATTTTTTTTAAAAAAAATTTTATTAATTGATTCTGGTGTATTGCCTCAATATTCAATCATAACAGCAGAGAGTGACAAAATAAAGAGTGCTCCAAGCATATGTGCATTTGGGTGTGTCTGTGTGTCGTCTTCTGCTTCTGCATTCATGCATTTTCCAATTCTACAAAGCTTACCATATAACTCCCCATCCGCACCCTGTACAACAGGGGCAAACCTCAGCGAATTTCTCAGCATCACTGGAATTTACTCTTCGAGATATTAAGTCATCATAAATATCTACACCAGACAAATTTCAATAGAAATGAAGTCAGAAACTTGGTTAAAAGAAACGGCATGTGGCACGGGTGAATGAAAAATTACCATAAACTGAGAACAAACTGTTCATCACACCTGAAATTAACCAAGTTATGGTTTAGTCACCTTTTGTTTCTTTCATGGAAATTACACGATTATGCATTGTCAACCAGAAGCATATTGAAATCACTTTCACAAAGATATAAAGAGAACAAGAACTTACCAATAAAGAGAATGACATAGCGAAGGATACGAACAGTTGTTTTCTCTTGCAGAACCCAAATTATGGCAATAAAGAAAATAAACCCTGTGATTTAGTTGTAAATAAGTAATATCAGGAATCATGTGAGTTTAATTTTTCCTTTTGTTCCATTGAAAGTGATCACAGAATACACACCAATACAGAGTCCTCGAAGTGTCCACTGTTTTTAGTCAAGAGTTCATAGCAAGACACCCAAAAGGAATAGAAGTCAGCCCCACAAATAGAATAGATTAGGAGGAAAAACAATTTGTATATCTGCATCTATAACTGCCTTACATTCTTAGCAATGAAGAGCACAACAACCAGAGCAACAATAAAACAACCAGCAGCAATTCTTGCAGTGAGAAGATTTGTCGAAGCAAGTATGAAAGCCATCCCCCAAAATGAAGAACCAAGATCTAGTTGCAAAACCATTTACAGAAACTGTGAGTGCATCAGAAGAAGCTATTATCAAAATTTAGTCAGAGCAATAAAATGGGCCGCACCCATGTATAGAACACGCATATGTTTCCAATTTACATGACTTGTGGACAAATTTCTGAATTTTCAAATCTTAACTAAGTTAGGGATTTGTTTTGACTAAGATACTTGTAACCTACTTGAATTTGATTTGTTAAAAGCTCATATTTATGTTGGCTGATATGTTAAAATGAATAAATCTAAACAACACAGTAGGGTTATCTAACTAACTAAATGAGCCGGGCATGAAAAATTAATGCTCAGCTTGTTAAGCTCACAGGCCACTTAGTAATTAATTGATATATATTAGACAAATTTGAGCTCGCTAGTTTTCAAATGAGCTCAGCTCAGATCAATTACAAATCCAGGTAAGGAATTGCTTCTCAATTAACCTCAAAATGTTTGCTTTTGCCATGTTATATCATATAAATAAAGAAGCCATTTAGCACAACATGAAGTACTAATCAGTGTTAACAGAAAATGAGAAGGGAGATGCATTACATCCGGCAGGAAGAATCACCCAGTATATGCCTCCACGTGTCTGTGTCAGCCCTCCCTCATTTGCATGAACCTGCATTCCCTCTACCTGTTGGCATCAAACTGACATGAATCAGCAAACAGAAGAGGATGATATAACTATGAAGAAGCATAAAGCAGAATCAAATTTCTAAAATTCCTGAGCCTCAATAAGGCCAATAGCGACCCTGCCAGCCTTCCTAAATTGTAGACTTCTAATGTAGCTGAATACATAAGTAACCGTATTAGATACAAGTTCACTTCATTGAAGGCATGCTGCATTAAATGCATTAGGTATTTAGGATCGGATATGAGTAAGATATGCAATTCACTAAATGACAAGATTTGCAATGACAATGATCCTCGAAAGATTTAAAAGCAGTTAAGATACTATGAACAAGAAAATGAGATCCAGAAAATCCGTCAGTGATAACTTATAAGCTGCATCAATGAAAGTGATAATTTAAGCAATTATTGTTGTTTCAGTTCTTCTAATTTGCTAATAAAGTGGCAACACAATCACCTCCTGAGAAAGAAAGTTATATAATGTCATGGCTGTACTTTAAAAAGAACCAGCTTGCAAAATATTTACCTTAAAGCGCATTAAAGTGAAGGAATAGGTTCATCCTTCATAACTAGCTAACCCAGTGAAATACAATTTCCATCTTTACATCACATTACCTGTTCCTTGTTAAAATGAGTTAATGGGTGAATACTAATTAAAAAGGAATAGGTTAATCATTCATAACTAGCCAACCCAGTGAAATAACTTTTCCATCTTTACATCACATTACCCCTTCCTTGTTAAAATGAGCTAATCGGTGAATAATAATTAAAACAGTTGGAAATGCAATAAATTATATCATCATATGAACATTGGAAGTTCAATATCTCCAGTCAATTTAGTTTCCAGAAGCAACATGCTTGACCAAATATGATCCATAAGAGCATCAATGACCAAAGAATTTGTTGGATTTCTCACAGTATCAAATTGGTAAGCCATAACCCATTTCCAATTTCACATGATAGCATTCCATTTATGTCATGGTTAAATACAAGCAGAAACTTGTAAGCCTCGGATGTCATATAGTTAAACACTCATAAAAAATAATTCTAAAAGAAAAACATTCAAACTTTATAAATTGTATTACCAAGGAACAAGAAGTTTGGACATTGACAGCATTACCTGACCGCAAGTGAGCTTGCAGGCAATTGCATGACTTGCTTCATGCAGAAACACAGTGATGAGCTTAAAAGGTGTAAGTAGTATAGTCCTCCATAGCTATAACCACCAGAACAAAGAATGTGCATTAGATGACCAGTTGCAGACAGACCAACTTGACCAATTGATGAGTGTGACATACAAATTGCCTGAAAATTTTCTTTATGGACCAAAAGCTACTTAGATATGATATGGGGGGGGGGGGAGTTTGTATTAAATCAAACAAAGGACTTCCTTCGGAAATATTTCTTTTGATTAGCGCATCCCAGCAGACTAATTTTGATCCCATCCATAAAGCAGCAAGTTCACACAAGACTACTTTAGAAATAAGTCAGGCACTTCAATGACATATATCTACAATCGTTTCCTATTTAACCATATGATTCTCTCAAGAAAAGTTTCTACTAAAGGAGATCTAGGATGTATGGCAGATGAATAGATAAAAATTTGTCATGGCAAAAGCATTTGATTGCATCTTCACTCCTGAGCATCTCACATTCATCTTGCTTTCCACACGTATTGTGCCTGTTGAACGTGCCAAACACTAAAATTACGCTTGCACAGTCTGGATTTTGTCTTATGTTCATTTTAAGCTGTTTTCAACTCTATGCATAGCCTATGGTCAATTTAAACCAACATTCAAGTAAAATTACTCAGAATATAAAGCTTCATTACAACAGAAGGAACAAGATGAAAACGTGATGTTGGATGGAAAAACTCGGAAGGCGAACTTATCATGAATTGTGAACTGAATCTCATAAAAACTCGGAAGAAGAATAATGGACCCCAGTTGAACTAAATCGTTGTTTGAACAATCGAGGATAATCGACTTAAGTTCAAGAGAAACGTTAGCAGTAATCCTAAATTGAGTTGCTTTTCATTCATGAGGACTAAGAAAGAAATGCGTACCGCAAGGATGACAACGGTGAAGGCTCCCACACAGGCCAAGAACACGACCTGGTCGTGCTGGCAACAGTTCTTGAGTTCCCAATTCGCCATTGACGGCGAGTATTAGCTCAAATACAACTTAATCGAAAGGCGAAGAAACGGCGGAAATCAGAATCTGCAGAATCTCAACCCAATAAACAAAATTGAATCTGTGTTGTAAAGCTTTTCTTTTGGCCGCCAGGAAAGCGAGAGAGAAAGTGGGTAGAAACTAGAGACTGAAAAGACCAATTTGAAAAAGTAAATAAAAAAGGAAGACAAAAAAAAAATGGACAAAAGGGCAAAAGAACAAAGAAGGCGTTGGCCAATCCAACGCGTAGGAGAAGGCGAACTGGCCAATCGTGTTTCTTGTTGGAACGTTATTCTTTGGATTTTGAATTTTCCATATGATCTTCTATGGCAGTATGTTGGACCTTGTCATCATTGAAATAATCTGTTTGTTTACTAAAGCCAAAGCGTTTCTCACCACCCAACCTCCGCAGTTTTCTAGACTGGGCAATTTGTTTTCGAATTCACCGATATTATAAATAATTAATTTATAAATATTAAAAAATTTAGTTAAATTAGTTATTTATAATACTATTTCAGATCTTAATTATAAGATCTCATTTATAAATTATAAATAGAGTCTCATAATTAGGATCGGAGGGAACATATATGTGTGGGTGTTATTAAAACATCATCTTTAATCATATGTATTAAAGTTATAATGTCATTAATATAAAAGTTAGTTAACTAATTTAAATAAATTAAGGTAGTTTGTTAAATTAGTTATTTGTAATATATTTAGAACCAAATTAAATGTCAAATTAGTTCTTATATTAAGGATCGGAAATAATAATCGACAAAAATTTTCTTAATATACGCAATCAATAAGCATACTTTAAAAAGATAAGGGAGAATGACAGAAAAAGAAACAGAAAATTACAAATCCTAAATCAAGTTTGATAGCACAATTTTATTTGGTATTAACAAGTTTAAATTTGTAAATGATAACAAATTTTTATTGACATTTCTTATTTGGCATTTACAAAATTCTAACTTCTTTTTTTGTCATTATTCCAAAAAATAATTATAAATTTAAAAAATCAAGTAGATTGAAATTTTATATTTAAAATTAAAATAATTTTCTCATATAGTTATTGCATTTACAACAGGAGGAAGTAGTTTTCTTGGTAGATTTTTTTTTTGTCAACCATAATTTTTTTGGGTAGATTGCGCATTGTTTTACTATAGTTTTTAAGTGAGATGGGGCGTAGGCCTTAATTATGATTAGAGCCGTTGAAGAATTTTGAATTTTACCCAAAAAACTATGGTTTTATAACTTTGAATTTTGAAACTGGACGTTGGGTCATTTTGAGCTACCTGAACCTCATTTTCCTTCAATAAACTCCTCAGTCTCTCTATCAGTCTAAGTAATTGAGGGGATCAAGTTATCGTTCCCTCTCTCCCTTTCTCCCCTAATTTTCTATTTTTAATGGATACTGCTATCCTATTTATAAAGTAGAGAGAAGATTTTTTAATCTATTTATAAGTTATATCATTAATTTTTAGTATAAATATACTATTTTATCTTGTAGATTGTTATTTTTTTTCAAAAGTATATATATTGTTAAATTTTAAGGTCGAGTTAATGAGATTTAAGATTTTTTTAAATTCTACTAAACCATGTTAAAAATGATTTTTAAATAGGACAGATGGGTAGTGAATAGATTTCTATGATTGTTTAGCTGTTACAACTATTTGTGTGCTTCTAGAACTAAATTATACTGGAATCCCCTGTGCCCTTCGTGTTGCTTGCTTGCTTAGCATTTAAGGACAAGTTCAAAACAGAAGTGGCTTGCAAATAAAGGAAGGAAAAAGTAAGGATACTTGAGCAAGAGAAAGGAAAAAGCCTATAGGTAAAAAAATTAGGAGGAAAGAAAATGAAAGAAGAGAAACTAAATAAAAAAATAAAATTGAAAAAAAAGGTTACTATCCTTCTTATTTTGGATGGAGGAGAGAAAATAGAGAGAAAATGAATAAATATATAAATAATTAAAATATCTTTATTCCATATTAAAATATATTATGCTTAAAATCAAATTAAATATCACAACGAAAAAATCATATTAACATTAACTTCGTCAAATAATTTAAAATCAAATTATTTGGAAAAGACATATTATCATGTTATTATATTTTGAAAACTAAAAATCGGTTAGTATAATATGATTTCTGTTACGGTTAGTATTTATAAAAAGTCATTTTTAAAAATTAAAACTTGTTTAAATAATTAATAAAAAAGTATACTTAGATGTAAGATGGCTAAAAATGACATGACATTTATCAAATAGTAGCATGTGAGATTATATGTTCTTACTGTGATAAAAGTAAAAAAAAAATCTAAAATTATTATAATAAAATAAAAATAAATTTTTTATAAAATTATAAAATAAAAATATTTGTTAACGTGAGAGAAGAGAGATAAGGGTAAATCTTGTAGATATAATTTTAAATGAGCATTAAATGCAATCTTAATGGTCAACGTGCCCAATATGAGCTCTCTGATTTTTTTTTTTTTGGTGAAGATATGAGCTCTCTAATTCTAACGCTGATGCAAACGCCCATTCCCCAGTTCCCTAGGCATGTTGAGTCGCACCCATGCTGATCCAAGCATTGCCAACATCAATGACATGATTTTATGAAGTAGTCATGAATAAAATTAAAAGGAAAAACTTACATGAAAGGCAATGCGAATTTGATAAGATGATTCACATCCCACAAGGAAAGGCAAATAAAGTGTGACTTTTTTATTTTATTTTTTTCTCTATATGTGAAAAGAAAAGACTAGGAAAATAAAATAGATCCCACGTTTCATTTTATCTTTTACTTTTCTTTCTTCTCACTTTTCCTCACATCCAAAATCGGGAGAAAAAAAAAACTCATTTCTCTCCTATCTTTGTCCTTAATTCCCCCCGCCCTTCCTGTTCACTCTCTATCCAAATAAGAGGTTAGTTCTCTTATCTTTAGGGCCTGTTTGGCAAACAGAAAAAAAAAATAAAAATATATTATTAACAAATTTATTTTTTTAAATTGAAATATATTATAAAATCTATCTATTATATAATTATCATATTAACTTTTATCCTTTTTAGTAATTTGTACATATAAAAAATACTTATGATAGCAATTATCCAAACACTCTCACTTTATCAAAATCACTTTTTCATAAAATTTATACTTCCAAAATCTATTCTCAAAAATAATTTTTTTCTAGAAGTTATTCTTCAAACCATGATTTGGTTTTATCGAAACATCTTTTTACTTTTCAATCATTATATCCATTCTCATTAAGAAGCATTTTGGAAGCAATCATTAAAAAAAAAAATTATGGGTTTGCTAGTTTGTTTGGATTTTTGTTTTGAAAACAATTTTTTGTCTGTTAAAAAAAACTGTTTGGTATTTTTTTAAATTAGTTGTTTTAAATAAAACAGTTTTCTGTTCTTAAAAACTAAAAACCCAAAATAATTTTTAAATGTTTTCTTATTTTTGTTTTTTTAAAAAATTTTAAAAAAAACTTTTTTCTCTTCTCACCTACTGCCGACCACTAAAATTAAAGTTTGCAACTGACTTTTACAAATTAAAATTAATTAAAATTAAGATAAAAGTAATTTGATATCTGTTTAGATAAGCTTTCACTAAAAAAAAAATAGTTTTACGAAAATTTATTCAAATGATATATTGAACCGTCAAATGATATTTGGAACCATCAGTTTTAGAAGTTCAAATATTAAAAAAAAAACAGAAAAAGTTACTTCAATTTTAAACGACTTTTGGATTTCAAATCATTTATGTATTGAAAATCAGATCAATTAATAAATTAGTCCAGACAATGATTTAAAGGTTAATTTTTCAACTAAGTCAAACCGGTCATCCAGAATAATATAATTTAATTTTAATATACAAAAATAATCATATATAATTCTAAAAGAGTGATATTTAAATAAAAATATGTTAATTCACAAGTAAATAAAATATTCATTTATAAACCACATATAATTCAACTTAAAAGAATTAATAAATCACAAATACAGTGGATTGCTATTTTTTAAACTGAAAACCATATTGTTTTAAGCTCAATAATAAAAGAAAAAAAATATAAATTCAACTCAGTTGATCAGTTCAAAACTCATAATCAAACCAATCATGACACTAGTTCATTAATTTATTGGTTTGACAAGTCAAATCAAATTGAGTTTTCATACTAGCCTCAAAATCATCAGAAACATGCTCGAAAACCCATTGGAAAACATATCTTTGTAACTTTTGAGGCAAGGCTACTCTCTTTATTTTGGTTAAAAGTAGTTTTGATGACTAAAGGAATGTTTGGGTAATCTCAAAATCACTTTTCAGAAACACTTTTCCGTAAATTGAGAAAAATTCCTTTACATATTTACTTCATATACAGCAAAAATACTTTTAAAATTATGATTTTATTTTTACCCTTACACTCCCTAAATGATGTAAGACAAGGTAGGAAAAAAGGGTAAGAGGGAAAGAGAAGAGGAAGAAAGAGACTAGAGGAGGAAGGACAGCAAGAAAGGAGGAAAAAATTAGAAAAATAAAAGAAGAGAACTCAAGGTGAAACTCAATAATATGTTTATTCAAATCACAAAATATACAAAGCAAACGAGTTGAGATGCCATTTATAGACCTCAATTTAACCCTAAGAATTAATGATAGAAAACTCTAAAATCCTAGAGTTGGATGCAAATAACAATTAAAAGATAACAATCAAATTAAAATTAAAGCCAAATATTTCCTAACAATGATAAACATCCCTAATATCTGGAAATCCTCATCAACCATGATTTCATATCCCACCATTTATTCCCTACTTGAAGAACTTGGCTCCTGACGAGTTAAAATAGAGACACAAATATGGGGAGGGAGTGGTGGGATTCTGTATGGTGCTTCGATCCGAAAATCCCTTCTAGTAAGTAAGATTAGAGCTGGGAATTAGGGCCGGCCCTTCAGAGTTGGCGGGCTTAAAAGGACCAGCCTTCCAGGGTTGAAATTTTAAAAATACCCCAATTTGCTAGGCCCGGCTCTTAAGCTACAGGGGCAAGGCCGGCCCCGACTTTTGACCCGTTTAAGAAAAAATACTATTTTTTATATTTATCATATTTTTTTATAAAAATATAAAAATAAACCAATGAAATTATTAATAAAAGACATAAATATGAATAAAATTAAGTCACAAATATAAAATATCATCATATATAAATATTCATCAACATCTAAGAACATCTAAAACATTCATTAACAACATAACAACATCTAAAAGTTTTATCTATAATGCAATTGTGCAATAAATAAACATTATCATTAATCTTTTGAAACTTCATCATCACTATAATTAATTACTTTTCTTCATAAGTATGCTTTTCTTTCGTAACAAAAATATCAATTTTTTCTTCTTTATAAGAATTTTATTTTTAAATTCTGCAATCTAACTATTATTTTACTTTAATGTGAGAAACATTGTTGTTGAAACTCATGAATTTCTAATTCAAATTATAGAATCACAAGTTATATAAGTATAAAAATATTTTATTATCAAATATATATATATATATATATATAGTTTAAAAATATCAACGCATATAATATAAATCAAATCATTATTAAAGTCCAAATTAACCCATCTTTTAAAAATTTAATTGGATAAATTATTGTCTAAAACTAAACGCCGTTTCACATTAATATTATATAAAAAAATTTAAAAAATAAAAAAATTATAAAAGGGTTTAAAAGGGCTGGCCCACGGCCCTCCAGGGCCGGCCCTTTTAAGCCCTCGGCCCTTTAGGGCCAGCCCTCTAAGGCTTATTTCTCATTTTAAAAGAAAAATATTAAGTCCGACCCTCATAATTTCAGGCCCTAAACGGGCCGGCCCGACGAGCTTGGCCCGTTTTCCCGGCTTTAAGTAAGATAACGAGAGAGAAAACCACGGGAAGCATGAGTAGCTTGAGTAAAGCCCAATACAATACTTCGGTATGGAAATCCTCTCCAACATGCCAGGCATCAAAACAGAGAATCATTGAGGAGATGACAAACTTGATCATTGAGTGTCCGGAAAGCCCTTCTAATAGACAAGAGTCTCATGGAGTGGCCCAATAAGTAGTGGATCAACCTTAGGAGGTACAACTTACAGAGGAGGTAGAGCTGCCATGTGATTAAGCCGATCCTGCATCGTAGGGCCACTTCAATTCCATCAGCAGGCTCCACAAGTGCTGGTAGTGCTTCAATAGGATTTAGGATTTGATCTTCTGGATTTGAAGATGGAACCTCAGCTTTCGTCAATTATTTGTTTTTTGCGATGGATTTTCGCTTTTCTTTTTCAACTCATTGATTTGACCTCGTATACACTCAAAAAGCTTAGTTATTATGAAATCCAAATGTTGGCATTCTTTAATAGCCTCACCGTCTTCTGCAGCCTTGGACCCCATATTGATCAAAATCTTCCTATTGACAGCAATTGGTATATTTATATTGTTGTTGCTCAGCATACCTTATATTGATGATATGGGCGTTCCTCATATTTATAGCACTGGTAGTTTTTATAGTCATGTCGATGCTAGGTATGTTGGGATAGGGTGCTATATTTATGTTGACATTTTTTATACATGCATCCTCTAAGACTATAATTATAACTGAACAACATACTTATTAGGAATTTAAGGGTAGTTCTAGAAACCTTAAAAAAAGTTTCCAAGTTGGCCCCACCTGTAAGGTAAAAACCCTATTTAACAAGCTTAATCCTTAGAAAACTCCACACCTCCACATAGATTACACTTAAGTGAAGTATTTATAGTAGCCTTAGTGGGTTCGAAAACCTCACAAGGAAACCGTTAGAAACTTGAACTAGCCTAGGGTAAATTTGATTTGGCCAAAGTGGCAAGTGGATAGTTTAGGGTAAGGCAAGTAATTAGCCAAGGCAATAAATAATATAAATTAAAAAAATGAAAATAAAAAGAAATAAAATTCAAAATTGGAGAAAATGATTTTTTTTTTCTTTTTGGCCTTCGATTTTTTTTGCTTTGCCTTTTTCTTCTTTTGTTCACTATCTTTGTTTCTTGGTTTTTTTTTTTTTTTTGCTTTTTTAAACTGTTTTCCTCTAATAACGAAAATGAAATCAACAAAATGAGAAAATGGTCACCCAAATAACAGTTTTGGATGATAATCTTCAAGAAACTTTAGTTTAAAAGTTCTTCCGTGTGATAATTCATTATTGGAGGAAGATTCAAAATGGAAGAGACCACACAAAACAATGTGGAACATGAAAGGCTTGTATGTGAGCAAGGGGAAAGAGGGAAGGGGAAATGGAAGAGAGAGACTAGAGGAGGGAGAACAACAAGAAAGGAGGGAGAAATTAGAAGAATGAAAGGAGAAGAGAACTCAGGGGTGGAGAAACTCAATAATGTATTTATTTAAATCATGAGGCACATGAAGCAAATGAGTTGAGGTGCTATTTATAGATCTCAACCTAACCCTAAAAATGAATGATAGAAAACTTTAGAATCTCATACTTGAATGTAAATAACAATTAAAAGATAACAATCAAATTAAAATTAAAGCCAAATATTCTCTAATAATAATAAAATCCTGAATATCTGAAAATTTTAATAAACCATGACTCCATATCTCATTACTGAGATTTCATACAAACTGAGACAAAACCCTTTCACATATTTATCTTGAACTTTATGAAATCACTTCTAAAGCTATTATTTGATTTTTACCTAAACAACCCATAAATTTCTCTTTGTTAAATCAAAATCACAATCAATATGTGTTGGCAAACCCAAGACCTTGCTCGGGTTGGGTTCATACGTTAATGGGTTCAAAATAATAAGGATAGTGAGGACAAAACAACATCTTTTTTTTTTTTGACCAGGGGTGAGGACAAAACTTAAAAAATTACAGTACCCATTTGTAAATTTGTATGAAGCTGACTGCATCAGAGGTCAGAACCACGTTGCATTGCCAGCATTATCCGCCGGGCCACCCATGAGCGTCTAAAGCGCAAACTCCAAACGATATTTGTTTGGATTCAAGGGACTTAATCTGAGCCATTAACTTTAAAATGATCATGGCCGTCAACTTTTATGGGGATTTAGGGATTTTTTTTCTCATATGCACGACTTGCAATTTGGTATTTGGAATTTGAATTAACTTCTTCAAAGATGTCTTTAGATTAACAGTCATTTAACTTTTACAAATATGAATTAGGATAAAAGTCAGTTAGTGTAATATGATTTATATTTGGATTGACGTTTAAGCTGACAGGTTGAAACTTATTTGAATGATTAACGGAAAAGTAAGTTTAGATGTAAAATGATTAAAAATGACATAAATTTTATTAAATAATACATATTTATATTAAATGTTTCTAATGTGATAATTACTGGAGAATAATTAAAATTATTGAAATTGAAAATTTTTGAACTAAGTAATTTTTCGGTTAAAAACGATGTAGTTAAATATTTTGTTTTATGTTACTTTCATTTCATTTCTTTTATTTCTTCTTTTTATTTGTTTCTTTTCTTTTCCTCTATCACATACCATGTCAATTGAGAATTTAATTGAGAATTTAAGTGTGTGTTTGGAATGCCGTTAGTAGAGATAAATATACATGGGAAAGTATGAAACCTGAGTTAGTGACTTATTTAATGGTGATGCATTGTTTGGATTCAAGTCAGAGGAAACGGGCTTAAAGCCATGGTGAAGCAAAAGCCAAAATTTTTGGGTATGTTTATATTTTATTTTTTTTGGAGCAAGGGTATGTTTAGATTTATAGTGACAAAACTTCTTTTATTTTATCTGACTTTTGCAAAAATTAATTAGGATAAAAGTTAATTAGTGTAATATGATTTATATTTGAATTGATTTTTTTATTATAAAAATCAATTTGCTAAATTAAAACTTGTTTGAATGAATAATGAAAAAGTAAGTTTATATATGAAATAAATAAAAAAGCCACGAATTTTATAACATATATCTCATATATATAATCTGATAAATTTGGGAAAAATAATCAATTAAAATACAAATTAAAAAATAAAAAGAGTTAATACGTATTTATAATGTTATTTATATAATGTGATAATTCCAATATCAATATTAAAATTAAAATTATGAAAATAAAAATGATTTATGCATTATTGTGAAAATTTTTAAAATATTAAAATACTTAAATTTTAGAAAAATTTGCAATATGAGTGTACAAAATTTGCAAAGCCCTACTACTCCGTGTGTATAAAAATTTATCAATTTTTCTCATCAATTAAATTTCTAATGACAACTTTTTCCCAATTTTCTCTGAATTTTATTATTTGATTTTTTATGTTTCTTTAGATATTTTCTTTACATCTAATATGCAAAATTGCTAAGTATAAAATTGTACTAAAAATATTTTAGGGTACTGAAACATTTTTTTCATATGTGTCTAGCACCTTAAATTATATTTTAGTGCATCCAACATCCGAAATTGTTATGTATAAATTTGCACTATAAAATATTTTAGGGTGTTAGATGTACTTCAAAAATATTTCTAAATGTTGGATGTATCTAAAAAAATATTTTAAGATATTAGATGTACTTTAACTTTTTTTATTTTTTTTCATTAAAGTAAAGTAGGACTCACTTTAACATTCTTCTTTTTCATCTCATTAGTCATTATTTTTCTCCCTCTCCTTTTCTCTTTCTACATTGGCTTTTGAGTTAATCCTAATGTGTAAGAGGAGTTTTATTTTAAGTAAAAAAATTTTTTTTTTTTTTTGGAAAAATCATTCTTGAGGCACCTATAATTTCTTTCGATTTTTAATTTGCTGCCTATAAATTTTTTATTTATAATAAATCATTTATTGTTTTTTAGCACAATTATTAAAACAAAGTTATAAAAAAATGCGCAAGCTTTTTATTTTAAAGCATTCCCAAAACGACGTCGGTTTGGAGAGACTTTAGGGACACTGTACCGAATCTATCATTCCAACATCACAGCCTTAATCGCACTCGTCATCGGAGCCGCCTCGCAGCGTAACAACGGCAGCACGAATCAGTACGGAGCTTCAGTTCCATTGGCAGATTCTCTGATAGATTGTGTTGTCCATTTTCGGGCTGTTCCAAAGAAAATCTCATCTCAAGTATCTCTTCGAAGTGACTGCTTGACGGGATAAGGAAGATTTTAAATGTAATAGTGTTGTTGTTTGGGTTAAACGGAATGGCAATGAGAATTCAGGTTGGGTTTATTTGGCGGCGTCTTTCTGGGGCGCTTACACTGTATGAATCAATCTCTTCGACATCACATCCAAGTTTTCAGCTTCGGAGTTCAATCTTTCGACCCTCGATCTCCGCCATTCTTCGCTCCTACACTACCGGTGCGTTTTCTTTCTTTCTTTCTTTGTTTTTTTTTTTTTTTTTCAGTTAACTCGGCGCTAACATTCTACTACTGTACTCTGACATTAGATAGGTAGACTAATCTATATTTTATGACGTTAAAGGTGTACTTGAACAGATTGGAAGTAGTTTCATTTTCCTGTTACTAGAAAACATGGTTAGTAGGCAATGACTGACCACTTTGATATGAGGAGAAGCCTGAAACACGGTGTAGAATTTGTTATAAGGAAAATCTTGCAATTTTGTAATTCATTCTATATTTATTTCATTTTGAACAGAAATACTTCCTCCAATATCTACGGACCTTCTAAAGATAATGGAACAAAGACTGTCAGCCATTGAGCACAGGAATGATTGTCTTCAGAATTTTCTAAACCAGGTGATCCTTTTTACTGTTTTCTTCAGTGTGTCGTACTCTCATTTCCATTGAGCACACATCTTTGCACCGCCCTCCTCACGTGTGTAAATAATCTTGGACGTCACTATTTTTTGTCTTTTGTTCAATTTTTGTTGTTTATTGAAGACAGCCAGAAGCATCACCAACGGAGTATGCCAGAGCTAATAAGGAACTTCGGAAGCTAAGTGGTTCCATGGCCCTTATCAATGAATTGAGAGCCAAACAGAAGGTAATGAGTTAATTGATGCAGACCCTTCGTACATTATATTAATTCGAAAGTTCAAAAAGGAAGTAGTATAACTAAGACATGAAACTGCATTTAGTTTATGATCTCTTAAAAATGTTTTAATGTACTGATAACAGAGGTTTGCTTTCATTGGATAGGAACCACTGAATTTTGTCGCTAAGGTGTGAAACAGACCTAAGTGTTTATTTTAATGAGTTAATTTTGAAAGTCTGCTATTTTTAACTTCATGATGAGAGTGTAGCCATGGGGCTTCCGAGAAGCCATACAGATTTTTCCTTTAGGCAGTTCTGCATGTCATTTGCTTATCTGTTGTAGAAGTGTACCTTTCCATCATGCACTAGTTACTATGGTTTTCAGTGTTTTTTTTTTTTTTTTGCCCCCTTTTTAATCTGATACAGGCTCCTCACTATCTGCAGGAAATAGATGGCTTGAAGTCATTATTGGCTGAATCTTCTGAAGATAAAGAGATGGTTAAGATGGCAACAGAAGAACTGGGCCAGGCCCTGGAAGAAGAAACAGGACTGCAAAAGTTGGTACTCAAGTCATTACTTCCCAGAGATGATGCTGATGAAAGGGACTGTATTTTGGAGGTGAGAGCAGGTAAAGTATCCCTGTTGGAAATGAACATCTCATATTGATGCTTATCAAACAGCCACTTCAACTTTTCTTATTTTGCTAAGGTGTCTATCCATATTGTATTTCCACCCTTCCCATTTCTCTGCATTTGTTTTTTTATCATTTTTCTAGACTAAGATGTTTCATCAGGTACTGGCGGGGAGGAGGCTTCCTTATTTGCAATGGACATCTTTAAAATGTAAGATTGTATGTGTTTCTTGGAACTAGCTGGAAACTGTTTGCTAAAGCTTTCTGACGAGGATATCGTGTGATGCAAAATAGGTATGAGAAGTATGCTCACAAAAAAGGTTGGAGGTTTGAAGTAGTTGATGTAGCTCAATCTGATCTAAAAGGATACAAGGTACATATTCGTCCTTCACTTTTGGTTATACTGTGTTGCATCGGTGGTTGATACTAAAATTGAATGTCCGCATATATAGCTGATATATTTTCTGTTTGGACCTCAAACTCTTAGGAGGCTAGTGCGGCAATTGCAGGAGCTGGCGTTTTTGGGAAACTTAAATTTGAGAGTGGAATTCACAGAGTGCAGGTTTAGTTATTACCTGTTATGTACAAGTTGTGACTAGTTTCATAAATTACTGACAATTTCGTTTAACAGCGTGTTCCTGTGACAGAAAAGTCAGGACGTGTCCACACCAGTGCTGTTTCTGTGGCCATTCTCCCTCAAGCTGATGAGGTGATTTTCTTACAGATCAATGCATCATGGTGTTGGGAAAAAAATAATAAGAGAAAAACAAGTGCGCTAGTACTGTGTATTGTGGTATTTTGAGACATTTTCCTTTATAAATAACAAAAGTTGACACCATTTTCTACTTAAGCTGTATCTTCTCTCTCTCTCTCTCGGTTCTGTTTAATTGGATTATGAAATTTATTATTTTGTATGTTCGCTTTGATACAATACACATTCCCTCTCTTTTTGCAGTATCTTACATTATAACGCGCCTTTGCCTTATGTAGGTTGATGTTCAATTGAAGAATGAAGACTTAAGAATTGATACCTATAGGTCCGGTGGTTCAGGTGGTCAGCATGCAAATACAACCAACAGTGCTGTTAGAGTAACTCACATCCCAACTGGGATGGTCGTGGCTATACAAGATGAGCGTTCCCAACATATGGTGAATATTGCTATAAGTTTTACAAAAATTACTAGTTGCCAGTCTTCATTTTTGTTTCAGTCCTAGGTTTAATTGAAGATAAAAGAATAAGCACGGGAAGTGATATTTCCCTTGATTGAATTTTTAATCTTGTTTATTGGCCTTATCAGTTACTTCTCCCTTGTCTGTATTTGGTAGCCAAAAGGGCAGTATAGATGTTGAGTTGTATGCTGTGCATGTTCTGTTTTTAACAATTTCACTTGGTCGAGTAAGCTTAGAGTGTAATTAGGAATACGCTTCTTGCTCATCTATGGCATTCGTTTAGAAAGTTTGCTTATGGCATGTTTACATTGTGTTCCGAAGGCTTTCTCAAATTTTGTTCATAGACCCACCTCCAGAGAGTCAATTGAAGGGGAGAATCTTTTTTTAAGATTTTATTTTTCACAGGTCTATTTTCCCTTTTCCAAACCATGTCTCCTTTGTCACCTAAAATGCAATGCAATGAAAAAGAGAACAGAATTGAAAAAGGGTGATGTTTTACATGGAAAATGGCACTTATAATCCTGGATTGAAAAATGTTTATGAAAAGTTGAGTGATAATAACAAGGACATACTATCTTCCCACCATTTGTGGCAAAAAGGGTTGGACCATGTGCAATTCCAGGACTTAACGGAAGGGAAGTCTAAGGATTACCATTTAGCTTGATAATCATCGCTGATTTTGTGTTTGCTGTAGTTAAAATTATTATGAAAATATACATCCTGACATTTGATTAGCAGATTTGGTTGATTATAATTACTGATAATGTCATTTTTCCCGTTTATATATGTTCTATATGTATTTTTTCTCCTATATTTATTGTCCTTATTCTTAATTTACATTCTATATTTGCCTTGCCGTGTCTGCTTAGAACAAAGCCAAAGCACTGAAGGTACTGTGTGCAAAGCTATATGAATTGGAAAGGTCCAGACTTCAAAGCAGTCGATCAAAAATTCGATCAGAGCAGGTGCGAAGAGATTTTCTCGCTAGCACTGTCAATCTTTAGACCATTATTATTGTTCTGTAAGTTCACATGAGCCTTGTGAAACTGGACAGATTGGTAGTGGGGACAGGTCTGAACGCATCCGAACGTACAACTTTCCTCAAGGCCGTGTAACCGATCACAGAGTCGGCATTACTCACCACTCCATTGATGATGTGATGCAAGGTGAGAATTTGGATGTCTTCATTGATGCTCTTCTGTTGCGGCAAGAAATGGATGCCATTGCGTCTTTCAGTTCTTCCCAGTAATGCCTGTGGAATCAGTTGCTTCTTGATGAGATCTTGTTTTGTCAATTCACCATTTACGGACCCTATTGAAGTTTATTGCTTCTGGTGATGTGCAATAAAGATGTTTCAAAGTGTAAACAGGAAAGCAAAAAGGGAGTCTTCTCATATAGAACCTAGCTCCACATTCATGTAGAAGGTGCATTCAAAGTAGAAATAGGAGGGGAACAGATCAAGCAGCAAGCCCTATGCATACTAATTATAAGATTTGGCTTTGGGCCTCAAATACAATCATGCTGTCTTGGGTCACTCTCTTTTCTTTTCTCTTGGTTTTTTTTCTTTCTTTTTTTAAATTTTAATTTTAATGGCAGGCTGCTTAGGTGGGGATTGAACCTTACATCTGGTACCACAAAGAGCAGATCTTCTGCATGTAGTTGATCACAATTGTTACCCACACTTTATTAACACAATGATATCATGCGTGGTTCAACTTGATTTTTCTATCTATAAATTTTGAACCCTTCACATTTTCTGTTTATAAAAAAAATTTCAAATATAATATATTTTATCCAATTATTAGTCTATGTATGGTTTTTTGGCAACATAATATTCTTCTGGTTTTTAATATAAGACCTATTTAACTAATTTGATTTGATTAATGAAGTTAGGTAAGTTAATTAATTATAAGAAATAAAATATTTTTTTTAAAATTTTATAATCATTTTTCTTGGTATCCTTCTTTTTTCTCATACTTGATCATAGTTAAAAGAGTATCAATAGAAGTAATTTAGAAAAAATTATTCTTATATTTAGAAGGAAGATTAACTCAATAATTAGGTCACACGTTAAGAATCAGGAGTAATATATATATTTACAACTTTATTAAGTTTTACTTTTTCGAATGAATTATATAATGATCTCTTCAAGAAGTAACTGATTTTCTTGGCATTACTTTAAAGATGACATAATGATCTCTTTAAATGAAAAGTAAATTCTAATAGCTTTTTGAATTTCGTTTAAATTGTACAATATTTGAGGAATGGCTTTCCACAGTTAATGAATAATTCAGCCTATCATAAATTTGAATAACACAACTCTATGTTGGAATTTAGTAATAAGTAGAATATAAATTGTCTGATTTTAATTTTTATCTTTATATACTAGATAATAATTTGCGAAGTTTTTATTTGCAAGACAACCAAATAGTACAATACTATATCATAGGAAATATTTACTAAAATACTGCACTTAAAATCATTCACAATTAGAACAAGTCAAAATTTATATACAAATGGCTCATATTAAGAACAACTCACTTTTATCATTCGGTTGCTAACACGAGAGTGATTATTACTTTTTTTTGTGGCACAAAATTATTACTTTAAATTATTGAGTATTACTAAAAAATATTCTTAATAAAAATGTAAAATAATTTTTTAGGTAATTTTGTTCTTAAAAATATTCTCTTAGCTTGACTTTCTAGCTTTCTCTTGAGCTGCTCCTTCTCGATGGAATAAAATATGTGCAAACATTAACAAATTTTGGTGACCCCTTCACGCTTCAGCGCTTCACTCTTATTTTGAAAAAAAAAAAAATGGAAAGCGGCTGAATACATGGGATGCGCCGCAGCATTTAACGACGTCGTTCCTCGGGGCGCCGGAGCCCGGAATGTGGACGCCCTCTCCACTCCAATCGCGCCCTCCTCGCCAACAATCTGTTCGCCGTCGCCTCTGTTCTTCGGCCTCAAACCAGTGACCTACACTCTACTATGATCGAACCAGTGACGCAGTCGCCGTCATCTCTTCTGTCTGTCCTCACTCCCTTGGCGTCCAGCGTTCGAAGTGTTTAAGGTTTGTTTTAGTCACCCATTCGCATCGAGCTTTGTTAACCTGTCATCTTTGCGCGGTGCAAGGGCTTTAGCCCGAGCCTGGAAGCTTTAGTCGAACCCAAAGTCTGGGTGATAATTGTCGAGGTTCTTCTCTTTGCTTGTTCATATTACTTTTGGAGCTTGGACATTTCTATGTATAGCCTACCCAAAAGAAAGACCCAACCGAGCCGAACCGATAAACGGAATGCTCACTCGGTCATTTTAACCCAAGCTGCAACGCACCGTTTTCAGTTTCCTTCTCTTCCTTGAGTACTTCATTTTTTCAGTTTGCACTTGGCAGTTCGTTCCTCCAAGGTGGTTTGGCTTCCTCGTACATCGACTTGTTCTCTTCTCCATCGATTTGCAGCGTCGCTAGGCCGTGGTCTCGTTTCTACTTGGAACTGGAAGGTGAGAATGCAGTGACTATTCTTCAGTTTTGGACTTTTGATTTGTGACTATTTTGTTCTGGTATGCAATGCGATTTTGGGGATTGGGATGCTAATTTTAGTTGGTTTTTCGCTAGGGTGTTTGTCGTTGCTTCCGAGTACCAACTTTGGCCTATGAGTGTGTCTGTTCCAAACTGGTTCCTCGAGTTAGCCAGTCAAGTATGGGTGTCATATTCTCCTACACCTCCGTCTTCGTTTTCATTTATATATTCGTCCTCTTCCTTCATAGAGCTAGTAATTTTTTGTTCCATCTCTTCTCTCAACACCTCACTGTTCATTCTTTTAGGTGCCCCCTACTTCCTCTCTGATCCCAATCACTTTACTTCTTTTTTTCTTCCTTTTTTCTAAAAACATGTACCAACTTTCTGCATAATATAAAGTTTTATTGGAAGTTGATTTCTTTTGAATATAAGGGTCTATAGTACATGCCAGTGGGTATTTATTGTTGTCTTATGTTTTACTGCAGTTTCCTGGATCAGTGTTAACCGCCAGTTGCCCTTTCCAATCCGTCTTTGGCCATGCCACCTTCCCTCATTCCATCCAAATTCGTCTTTGACTTGTGTACCCTCAAAATTTAGCTTACCTGCCTCTGAAGCTTCTGTGTTTTGAGACCAGTCTTCAATAATCCGTGCAGTTAATTCACTAACACACCTTATGGAGATTCTGAGCCTATGTCAATATTCATAAACCCTCTCTGCTCTACCTTTCTTTGCACTGGCCAAGCTATGCGCAAACCGAAGGACTCAAGGAAGAGAAGGGAATTGAAAACGGTGCAGTCTTATACATATTGATATTGATTTTAATGATAGGATTGATTATTTATATTTATACATATTGATATTTATTTTCTTAACAGATCCTAAGTGTTCATTCATGGAAAGTCCTTGTTATTCATTTTAATTAGGCACATCACAAGCTCAGATCCCTTTTTATTCTTCTATTGGTCTCTAGAGATGAAGATTTGGGTTCTTTGTTTGAAAATGTTGCCTTTGTCCGTTGTCTGGGGTGTAGGGTGCATTTATGCTTTTCTCCCTCCGATCTTTGCCATTCTTCCACTGCCTTCAGCTGTGTTTGGTCTATTCTACTCCAACTGCGTTTTCTTCTTCACGTGTGCGTGTGCGCGTAGGTTTAGGGTTTAGTTCTTGTTCCAACTCCTATCCCAAAATCTCACTGTTCATTCTTTTAGAGGTTCCGCTTGCTCTCTCTTTGTTCCCTATCAGTTTACTTCTGTTTTTCTTCCCTTTCTTAATATGTACCAACTTTCTGCATAATATAAACTTATATTGAAAGTTGATTTCTTTTGAATAGAAGAGTCTACTATATGCCTGTGGGTATTGATTTGTTGTGTTATGTCTTACTGCAGTTTTCCGGGTCTGTGTTAGCTGTCGTTTAAGGTTTAAAGTCTTCTTAGTGCATGCTAACCCCGCTATCAAATCCATTGATGGGTTCAACAAACTGCTCAAATGCAAAGAAGAGGAAGAAGACCCACCAATCTCCAGAGGCTGTGTTCCAATTTGAGCTCAATTCTTGTTCCAAAAACAAGGATTTGAGTGGTGCAGTCGCCCTATATGAATCTGCAATTTCACAGAAAATAAGAATTAGTCAACATCACTTCAATGCTTTACTCTACCTTTGTTCCAATTCTGTCACTGATACATCACTCAAAGACTTATCTCTGGATTATGGGTTTCGCATTTTTGATCATATGTTGGCTCTTGGTATCAATCCCAATGAGGCTTCAATCACAGCTGTTGCTAGGCTAGCTGCAGCAAAAGGAGATGGAGACCATGCCTTTGAATTGGTTAAGAGCATGGGAAAGTACAGTGTTGCTCCTCGATTGCGAACGTTTGATCCGGCTTTGTTCTGCTTTTGTGATCATTTGGAGGCTGATAAAGCCTATCAAGTTGAGAAAGAAATGGGTGCAGCGGGAGTAAGTTTGGAGGAGCAAGAGCTTGCAGCGCTTTTGAAGGTCAGTGCAAAGAAAGGTAGAGCAGAGAAAGTCTATGAATATTTACATAAACTCAGAAGCTCCATAAGGTGTGTTAGTGAATCAACTGCACGAATTATTGAAGACTGGTTTCAAAGCATTGAAGCTTCAGAGGTGGGTGAGCTAAATTTTGATGCTAGAAAAGTCAAAGATGAAATTGGACGGAATGGGGGAGGGTGGCATGGCCAAGGATGGATTGGAAAGGGCAATTGGGCTGTGCACAAAACTGATATTGATGCAAATGGACGTTGTTGCTGTTGTCATGAGCAATTGGCTTGTGTTGACATTGATGATGATGAAACAGAGAAATTCGCTCAGTCTATTGCTGCTCTGGCAGTGGAACGAGAAGCCAAGGCAAATTTTAGTGAGTTTCAGGTGAGTGAACTCCTGCTTGCAATTTCTCCCTTGTGTGTAAGACGATGCTAGATGTGGTAAATCTTTTCTGGAAATGAAGTTATCTGACTTTACGTCCCAACATGTTCTCTACTTGGTTTGGGTGGTTCTCTTCATTTGTCTTTCTGGCGTCTTCTATTTTAGGGCTGGCTCATGGAACATGCAGGCTTTGAAGCTATAGTGGACGGGGCAAACGTTGGGCTTTTCCAACAAAATTTTGCAGAGGGTGGATTTAGCATTTCTCAGGTTCGTTGAATAATTAATGAGGATCCTCTCACAACCTCTCTCTTTTCTTTTTTCTCCAAAAGAAAAGATATAATATCAGCTTTAGCTCATACATTAATGAATTATGTACTAATTCTGTTTATGTTCCCCGTTTTATATTCGTTCAGCTTGATGACGTTGTGAAGAAACTATATGATAGTAATAAAAAGAAATGGCCGCTAGTTATCCTGCACAACAAACGTATGAGAGGGCTTATAGAAAACCAGTCTAGCAGAAAGTTGGTTGAGGAGTGGAGGGATAATGGAGCTCTTTATACGACACCAAATGGCTCTAATGATGATTGGTAATTGCCCAATCAATGTCATGTGAAATGTCTTCATCTTTTTATGCGAGAAGCACATTTTTATTTCTCAAATTATCCGAATCTTTGTTCAACTTTTTTTATTATTCATCATATATTGTTTTTCTTTAGTTCTTGAAGGCACTAATTCACATATGTGGTCGAATTTGGGTTTGAATCTTTTGATCACTGTTATGTTTGATCTCTATACGTGTGGGTTTCAGGTATTGGCTCTATGCTGCTGTAAAATTAAGGTGTTTGCTTGTGACAAATGATGAAATGCGTGACCACATCTTTGAACTCATAGGAAGTAGCTTTTTTAACCAGTGGAAAGAAAGACATCAAGTGAGTTCCTTCTAAAATTACTCATAACATCATGACAGTTTTTGTTCTAATCTAATGATTGAATATGCATATTTGATTCTTTTATGGAACGGGGGAAACAGATGGAATTATGTTTAGTTTATTATTTCCATTTACATAAATAGAATATGATTGACATAGTAACTCATGTAGCTGTAAATTTGGTTTTTTTTTTTTTTCCCCCTCGGAAGAATTTTCTTAAATTGCTACTGTGGTGGGGTTAAGGCTATGTGGGGGAACATGCTGGTAAATGTGCCCATTATGGGTCTCAGTTATTATTTATACTTAAATAATTTTTAGGTGGCTCTTGGGCATTCTCGTGTCCAAAACCATTGCACTTTTCTCAAGCTGATTATATTTATTTTTACATACAGGTTCACTACACATTTGTTAAAGGAAACCTTAAACTCCTGATGCCTCCATCATATTCATGTGTCATCCAGGTAATATGTTATCTGGCACTCTGTGTTGTGCGTCAGCCAGGGGTTTTCAATATGTTGGGGTTTGATATGACGTTTGCTATTAGCTCTTTAGAAAACGAGAGGAGGAGATTTGCACTATTATCCGGAGCTCTGATTTTTTTTTCATTACATGCTTAAGTGCCTTTTTCTAAATAGCTACTAGTGTGGGGTGGTGCATGCTTCTTCCATTAAGACATTATATTTCAAAGGAAAAGTGTTCTTTCTGCGATGATGATTGTACTTATCGTTAGCATGAGAGCTGTACTTTTAAAAAAAAGAAAAAAAAAACAAAAGAAAAGAAAAACACTTGAGAGTTGTCATTTGATGCTGGCCGAAATAATGACCTTAACTCTATAAGTCCAAGCCAGCGTCTCTTTTTTTGAGTCCCAGTTTTGGGTAATTTAATCTGTTCGTAGTGTATGGACGGTTAAATTTCATCATTGTTGGGTATTCATGATTGTCATGCAGAAGATGACCATGAAATCCCATCTTTAGATCTGGCGGTCGAGAACTGTTAGTTTTGGGACAAACCTGAATTTATTTATTTATTTTGGGTTCAGGAATCAGAAAAAGGATTATGGCATGTACCAGTTGTAACAAGCAATAACAGTGAGGAATCCTCGAGAATTTGGCTTTGCATTACGCGGCCAAGTGCCGATGCTTCCAATGACGACAAGACTAGTGAAGATGGTAATCTCTGTCATCATAGTAACTCGTAAGATCATCGTAGCGAGTCAGAGGAATCTGCAAATAATGGCATTCACTACTCAGATTTCTCTCTAGTTGGAAAGGATCAGACAGTTACCCAATGAATCTTTTCTTTCAATGAGCCATTATTTGACATGCACGCAATAGGCCCTTGTGTCTGGGAGTTGTTTTTGTGGCCATAAAACAAGATGTTTCATGATATGAACTGGACGGCCACATTATATGCTTCATGGGTATCTGGTTTCTGCACTTCTGACGCTCGTGAAACTTGGAATCACAGATTTTGGAATAAGGTAGAAATTAGAATTTGTATGTTGAAATCCCTGTCTATTGGGGGAATATTTTAGTAGTTGGTGATCTGGGAGAGTGAAAGTAGGTATTGGGTTCTCATGTCATTTTTCTTTTTAATTATTTTTTGGGCTTTTCTTTTTAATTATTGTGTTTAAGTGGCCGAATGGTCACTCCCAGTAAATGTAACTGAATAGTAATTTTTTGGGTTTTGATTCATTAACTTATTAGTAGGGGCTAGCTCCTAAACCATGCATTCGGTCTCGCTGGTCACAATCTGTTTCAATTGAGTCAATTTTCTCAAATGCCAATTAGCATCAGTTAATATCTTGATTTTTTGTATAGCTGTAATGAAATCACTCGATTGGGTAAATTTGCTTGCTCCACTTGGAACTCCCCAAACGGAATTTTGGACCTTAAAAGCTAGTTGTAGCCTCAAAAAAATGCATGTTCGACATTTGACATGATTTTGGGTAACAAAGACTTTTTGAAAGGCGCGTTAAATTGAACCAGCTCGTTTTTTTAAAAAAAAAAAAAAGAGAAGAAAAAAAGAGATTTGAATCTTTTGAAACTAATCTTTAACATTTTGTTTTAAAAGAAAGAAAACAAAAGAAAATTTGATTGTCTTGTAAATAAGTACTTTACATATTTTTATCTAGTATTAAAAAATAAAAGTCAAAATCAGACTATTTAAATTTCATTTAAATAATGTAAAGTTGATAGTTTCTACTTCTTAATAAATTTCAACATAAAGTTGTGTTGTTTAAATTTATGATAAGCTGAATTATTCGTTAACCGTGGATAGCCATTCCTCAAATATTATAAAATTTAAACGAAATTACAAGTGTTATAATTTTCTTTTTATGTCAAAACATGATTACATAATTTAATGAAATTGTAAAAATGTGCATTACTTTATAGTAGTATAACATATAGTCATATGCTACTTTCAATCTTCAATATAAGAAATAATTAATTAATTTGAGTATATTAAGAAAATTAGTTAAATTAGTTATTTGTAATAAATAGGTATTGTCTTCCCCAAAATATCTTTGATAATCATATGTATTAGTTAAAACTACTATTTGATGAAATATTTAATATGTGTAACTATTACAAGGATTATATTAAAAAATAGATAAATATGAGAGATAAAGTGAATTAAGGTTTTATATTTAAAACCAAATTAAATGTCAAACTACCACATATAAAAAACAGGACGTAATTTATTGCTAAATTTATTAAAAGAAAAAATTTATGCACTTTATTTTTAAGTTAGCATTATTAAATATGTTAAGGTACATCTAGTACCCTGAAATATTTTTTAGGTGCAGTATATTTTCTGTCTTGGTGCTGGATGCACTGAAAAAATATTTTTGGATGTTGGCCACACCGACAAAAATATTTAAGGGTGTTGAATGCATCAAAAAATATTTCAAGATGCTGGATACACCATAAAATATTTTAGGGTACTGCATGCAACCAAGAAAATACTTCGAGGTGTTGGTTGCACTTAAAGCCTTATTAAAAAGTGGTGGCTTAATGAATGTTACCACAAAACTATCAAAAGTTAGACCGATTGTTTATATGTAGTAATGTACATAATTACATATACATGTATGTATATTACTATGTAGGGTAAGGAGTTAATTTATAATTCACAAGATAGTAATTCAAATCTCACTGTCAATATGAAGACCTTATTAGTGGACAATCTATAAGTATCTCTATGAATACTTTTTGAATCTGAAAACATGCCTTGACCCGCTTAACTCACAAAACTTTCTCATGCCAAAAAATATATATTTGATTTTTTATTTAAAAAAAGAAAAAAAAAAGTGGAGGGTTTAAAATTTATAGATAGAAAAATTAGGTTGAGGAGTTATCTTTTATTAGGCTCAACAATATTTAAACCTAATTGGAAAATAAATTCAGCAACATCAATAAGCCTATATATTAACCAACATCCAAGGTGTACTAGAAAGTGACTAGAAACGAAAAGGCTATAGAAACAGATGCTCTTCATGTAAAGTTCATAAGTTGATTCACATGGGCATCTCTCTTTTACTTCAATCACAGTCGCTAGTTTTGTTCCCCAATCACTTTGGGACTGTCCCCTCCTCCTTTTCCTTCCCTCTTCCTACCTGTAAGCCACCATCTCCCCTCCATGCACGTATCCCCTTTTGTCCCCGGTCTTCTTCAATGCAAGATAAAATATTATATATACACTCTGCACTCCCTCCAGTTCTATGCCACTTCAATGCTAAATATAAGTCATTTGTAGAGAGGAATTTTAGTTTTAAATATAAGTCACTTATAGTATATTTAATATTTATTTTCTAATTTTATCTTTATTTAATTTTCATTGAAAAAAGATAAAGAAGAAAAATGAGAGTGATTCGTAAATGTAGAGAAAGAAAGAAAACTTTAATGAGGATAAAATTAAATTTTTTTATCCATTTAATGTACTTGTTAGTGTGCGAGAATATGTTACAAGTGGCTTAGATTAAGAATTAGATAAGCAACAAATAATCAACATGTATATCAAAATATTAGTTAAAATTTGTTAAAAATAATAAATGTGTAAGAAATATAATTGTTTTCAAATATATCCTTATTTAGTAAGGATGATGAATGAGAGAGATAATGGGTGGGAAAAGAGATGAAAAAGAATCAGTCAGAAAAAGAGACGAAAAGGGCATGCAATTACTTGGGAATAAAAACGAATTAATACATTGAATATTTCGCACATACAAAGTGTTATTTATATATATAACCAACCCTTTGTAAGAGAATGTTGCTTATATAGGATCTGAAGGAGTATAATATGTATATATACAAATATATACACACATATATATGAAGCTGAGTTTTTTTAATTTTTATCCAAAAAGATAGAATTATCATGATGGCAAAACATCTTTTTGATTAAGGAGAATGCCAATCTGTATTTAAAATAAAGGACCCACAAATTCTTGAGTCTTCTTCACTCACTTAGGAATGGGATTTTGCTTTTGCTCTGCGACAGACACAAAATTAGAAACTATTAAGAAAAAGCTGCAATCAGTGGGGACGATGACAAGATTTAATGATGGGGTATCTTGTTATATTATTGGTTCATCTAGATTTGACTCTGGATTTTTCTGACACAAAATCATCTCTAAGGTCCACATTTTCAAATTTTGGATTAATAATTGCTTGGATTTTGATTTATATGTAAATATTAAAATTATTGTTAATTCTTTTAAGAATTATCTAGCCGACGCTACTAATTAATCTAGATTCGAGTCGCGATAACTTTCATATTCAATGAAGGGAAGCTCTTCTCACATATTTTTAATTATATATAAGACTCAAATTCATGACTTTAATTACTACAAACTAGATTTTATAATTAAATTTACATCACAAGTTAGATCCTATAATAATAGGCATCCTTTTTTATATACGTTTTTTTAATCTTGTAAGGAATGAAATAAAATTAGAGTGGAATTTGTATAAATACCTCTATTTTATGTGGGAAAACTGCCAAAAAAGATCGCCGAAATAAAAAAATTACAAATAAGAACCCATAACAATATTAGTATGGGTTTTGACAGTAATAATATGGGTTTTGATAATAATTTTTACAAACCGATCTCTATATGCAATTTTTCCATTTCAACGGTTTTTTTTTTTTGCCATTTTCCCATTTTATGTTTGGATTGGGGGTTTTACGATTTGCATTTAAATTTGGGCCAAATCTATTGTTTAAGTAAATAAAGCTTTATGGATTTAGATTTAGATTTGATCCAACTAAATTTTATTATAATTTTTTAAAATTTCAAATACTTACTCTAACTTGATTATTTCAAATGTGAATTATGATCTTTTTTTTTTTTTTTACCTTTATTTCTTGCCTAGACCAGAACGCTCCCTCACACCTTTAATCCCTCTTGGGCCTACTCGCTTACTCACTCTTAATGCAACATTGAGAGTTAGATATGACAATGACAAAAAAATTTTAATCATATGGCAAGTGGCTTAAGATGTTTGGATATGAAACCATTTTAAATTTCAAAAGGTGTGAGAAAGAGATGACAAGTATGTGGTGCTTGTTTCTTGTGGTCCCTCATTTTGACCTAAAATAAATGTATGAATAATCAACAAAATTCATTTTAAGAAAAGGTTGATCCAATAATTGTTTCTTAGGAATTCTCTAAGCGCATATTCATGTATTTAAAATAATAGCGGCCTATTAAGAACTTTTAGTTCAAGCGGCAACCCGAGAGATTATAGGATATAACCCTAAAATGAGTATGTAGGGGGTGTCTGTCGTACAAGGTTAAGCTAAGCTAGAGTGTGGATCTTTTTTAACAAAAAAAGACAAATTGATCTATAGATTTATAAAATAGATAATCCGAGGTTTAGGCCCAAAAATTAATTCATATTTAGTTACTATTACTCTTAGCTGGAACTAATTTAAAAAAAAAATAGCCATATTTTCCTTAACAATAATGCACAAGAAAAACATAACTATGAATTTTTTTTTTAAATTATACGGAAAAAATTTATATTTTATATGCTCCTTCTTATGAAATACAAGTCCCATCTTGGGAATATTCTTTGTTATCATGTATAAGTCATTTTGCATAATAACAAAAATATTTACTAGTAATATTTTCCTTTTAAAAACACTCAATTATTGAACTTAACTTCGAATTTTCATGGATTTGTTGGTTTTTCCGTGCATGACTAAATACTATATCAATTATGTAAGACAGGAAAGAAAAACATTTTCCGGACATCAACTTTTAATTATATTTATTGGTCTATGTGTATCAATATGGGTGTGTATGTGACATATATTTGATAATATATAGAGGGAGTAAAATATAAAAGAGGAAAATATTGGATATTATGGAAACGCAAACGGCCCATATATACTACTCTAATTAAATGTGTGAAGAACAAAATTATATGAGGTCCAATAAAATATATGAAAGAAATACTGAAAAAAAAGAAAATAATTGCATGGAACTTGAAAATAACTATGCCATTTATCCATGATAGATAAGATTTTATGTTTTATATTAAAATTCATAATTTAGTACATTATTAAAAAGCATTGTCGAAGAAAATGAAAAAGCACACCTTCCCATACCTACCGCTAAATCAAAAAGTTTATGAGCAATATCAATATCATTTGATGTGAAATATCCACTAAGAAATGGAAATAAAGTTGACAATTTAGTTAGGAAAAATAAAGTATCCCCACTTTAAGAAGTATGTAAGTGCATGAATAATTTTGAAGACATATCATCCTCATAGC